CTCCTCCTGTAGCTTATCTCGACTCTCCGCCATAGCGTTGTATTGGCTCTGGAGCACCTCCATCTCTTTCGTCAGGTTGCCGGAGTTAATCTTCAGTTGATCTCGCTCATCTCTCAGAGTGTCTTTGTCTATGGTCAGGCTGTAGATCAGGTTTTCAAACTTTGAGTCCTGATGATCGCCGATAGCCCTGCAAACTGCAACAAGTTCATTTAGAATCAATGAAAAAACATGAAAATCATCAAGTGACCAATGCTACACCGAGTTAAACTTAGTAATTTATTTCAAGTGTTCAAAGGAGTATTTGCTGTGTACTTATGCTCATTGTTGAGGCAGTATTGTACTTACTGTGTGCCACCACGCCTAAGATCAAAATCAGCAGAAGAAACCCCACTGCAGCAGCTCCAATCCACCACACTAAATCACAAAATTCTCACAATAAGGTAATGAAAAATCACGGATAAGCAGTGCAGATGTCTAATTTAGCTGAATGGTTTAACTTTGTCCCCATCCACATTTCATCAAACATTGTTTCTGTTAAATGTTGTGCTGTATATTGGCAGGAATATGGTTATATGTGTACTCTTACCTGAGATGTGAGATCGCCATCCGTACTTTGGTCTATTGTCAGAAGTCATCAGATGCAGACTATCTTCCCCGACCTCCCCTGACTTGCTGCTGAATGTCACTGACATCTTCCAAATTTGTGGTCAGTATTTGTGTCAGTTGCTCTTCAGGCTCAATGATTAGCTGAGACTGCAAATACAGACTTGTGGGAAGGACATGGTTGGTTTGTGTTTGAGTCAGCAGAACTCTGGGATTTTTTAAATATTAGTTGTTAGTTGTGGTGGATATGTGAAGCCTTTAGTTACATAAATGTTTATCATTTGTTAAGATTACTGTGCACATTAATTTACATTTACCATCTATACTTCACAGTTTTATTTGCATCAGGATTGTGGCTGAGCATTTAATGATGGCATACTTACAGTACAGTCAGCAATTTATTTATTGTTTAAAAAAACAGGATGTAAGGGCTAAGCCTTGATAGCTCGCCATGTGACCTTGCAGATTATACAGAGTAGGGCAAAGTAACTTGAAATATATTGTTCCATATTTAAATATTTAAAGTCACCATATGGACAGCACCGTTTTTGTACAAATAAAGACAATTGTTCATGTTCAACACCATAACAAACAACAATGATACATGATTGATTTTTCATAATGTCTTGGTTCAAGGTCAATAACGTTGAATGTGAACGGCAGGAGATGTCCTCCCATATTCAATCCATAGAACCATGTATTAACTAATCGGACACAACCAACAAGTGCAGCACCTGCAATAACATGCAGTTGGTTTGTCAGTGATGTAGGCAGATGAGACACTTATTCATTGTCATTAGTCAACTGAGGCAAAATCACAAAAAAACAAACAATACAAGAATAATCATACACATATTGTAACCACTGCAATTTTAATGCTTACATGTCATTGATACTGCAGTGAATTGAAAGGAACTTTTTTTTAAAAGTGTTTTAAGGAAGTGGCAATTTTGTCTATAATATGTTGCAAACCCTCAGTGTTGTGCAGCTCGAGGGGCCTAAAGGTGCGCAACACTCAAAAATCTGACAAAGGGCAGAAACATCAGCAGCAGCAAAAGAGGAAACATGTCATGGGAGTAAGCAGCCTACTGGAACAAAATAAGAAAAGTGCTGACGTCGATTCTGATTGCGGTGCGTGAAGAAATGTTAAGGATCACCAAATATATTACAGTTCCTCCTGAGGAGAAATGACCAGTTTTTATGGCAATACATTCAATAGTTGTCAGTAATGTGTTGTCATATTTAATGTATGTAATGTTAAAGTCAGATTACAGAAAGGGCATATTGGCTAGAACATTTTTTGTCTTCTGCTACTCATTTTAAAATAATATTATTAATGGAAGTATCCATCCATTTAAAAAAAACACAAACAGAAAAACAACTTTATCTCTTTTTTGCTTCAAAAACATGTGTCACTCAGTGACACTTCACCATTCTCAAAGTCGCAGTTCTCTTCACTGACAGGTTTATGCAGTTGAATCTGGCTTTTTCACATGAAGTCATCTTTGCCATTCAAACCCTCGTCTTCGTCCCAGACCTCAATCTCCAGGATGTCGCTTTGGGCATAGTTGAAGTCAAACCACTGTTTAAATACTGTGGCTTGATTGTTGTCAATGACTGTGCTTGTCCTCATCACTTTGCAGACTGTCATCTACATTGAATTAATGTAGCTACATTTTATTTTAGAACAATAGTGACACACATTAGACAAACCTTTTCACATTTATTACGACTCTAATATCCCCATTATTGTATTTCAAGGTAATTTCCCAACTTTTTGTTGCCAGAGATTGATCATTTCAAATTTTGAAATCAGTTTTTTGACCATGTAAAACATTAAATGTATAATTGCTTTAACCATCATTGCGTACCAACTCACTTGCTTATGTAAAGAGATGCAGATGTCCTGCCTTGATATACAGTATGTGTCTGGAGGAGAGAAGATATCCCCACGATGTAGAAAGGACTTATTCAGAAACACTTTTGCTGTTTTTCCTTTCCATTCACCAGATCCATCAGTGGCTTCAGAGTGGGACAGTACCATCAACAGCAGGGAAACTACAAGAGTCGCACACTTCATCCTCACTCTTCACTTCTTCACCTGTGTGTGTGTGTGTGTGTGTGTATGTGTGACAGAGAGCTAGAGAGCCGTACAAACAGGCAGAGGCTCCTGGAGGAGATGTGTGACAGGCTGGTATCTGCCAGAGAGATGGAGGGGAGGGCGTGTGTGTGTATGACTAGCACAGGTCTGATTTACTTAGCACGTTGTGAACACTTCCTTGAGTGAATTTGCGACGTGATTACTGTAAGAAACTATTAGCCTCCATAAGTAAGTACTGTTTACCTTTGTGCAGGTGTCAGCCTAGAGCAAGTTCACAAGTTCTAAAGTATACAGTAAGAATTCAAAAGCAATACTGGTTTGGTTATTACAAATGTAAATATAAAAGCAAGCCAACAGCCAGCATTGAATTGGCACACTTGAGTTCTAAAACAAACAAGCTTACTTGCACAAACCATTCTGCTACCAACCCAAACTATATGTATGGGTGACCGTGGCTAAGTGGAGAGCAGGTGCCGTCCTGCAATCAGAGGATCGGCGGTTCGATCCCCGGCTCCACTAGCTGCATGTCAATGTGTCCTTGAGCAAGACACTTAACCCCAAATAGCTCCTGTAGCTGTGCCTACGGTGTATAGATAGATACTGAATTGTAAGTCGCTTTGGATAAAAGCGTCTGCTAAATGACTGTAATGTATTGCTTGATAAAAGTCTGTTTAAAGTAGAGCTTTAAAATCTGCTGATTCATTGTTTAATATATCCAGGAATCCACCAAAAACTGTGGGAAAAAGGCTTCCCAAGCAGATCAGGGACAATACTCAGAAAAAAGGTAAGGATAGCCGAATGCAAGAAAATTGAATGTGCTCAATATGTGCACAATGACAGGCACTCAATGGCATGAAGAAGAAGATGAATCAATTAATCAAGAAAGCAATGTGCATATTAATCGACAATAAATATAAGGGTAAGTTGCAACCAAAATTATAACTCTTATTTTGAAAAGACTTTGAATTTAATGCTTATGTTTTTATAAATGCCAGTTCTAAACAACATGTCTACTTATATCTCTTTTGCATGCAAGTCTGAATGTCTCATTGACTCATGATGATGCCAGGGCAGGTGTCCCTCCTCTTCCTCCTCCTCCTCCTCCTCCTCCTCCTCTTCTCCTGCTCTTTGGGAACTCGCAGATGAAAAACATGGTGGCTTCACACTCCACATGACTCCATGCCCCAGTGGGGAGCAGCTCCACACAGCTTGAGTTTGTGGTGGGAGCTACTCTAGAGCTGAGCTCCTCTTCTTGGCTCCACCCTGCAAACCCCTGCAGAGGGCTGGAGTCTGCATACACATAAGTGCTCGTTTCATTCTGGTGACAAAAACAGACGGAGAGAGAGAAATTATTAGAAGGTTCATCTGAAGGTTTCCGGAGCCTTTGGCCCTAAATATTCACCCTCCTTTAGAAAACAGTGGCAAAAGAGGATAAAAGACAAAAATTGGAAACCACCTACTAGTGTGTGTGTGTGTGTGTGTGTGTGTGTGTGTGTGTGTGTCTGCGTGTACATTATGAGCATCTGATGGGGAACACTTACTGTGTCCTTGCTTTGAGCCAGCACTCCTATATAAACTCTTGTCAGTCCTGCCTGACTGACATAGGCTGCCATTAGATGGTTGGTGTTGCTGGTTTTTGGCATGGCTAGGGTGCCTCCTCTCAACTTGCAGTTCATTGAAGCCTCTCTGAACCTCTTAGGCTCCTTCACCAGCAGGTAGTACCTCTCTTCTGTTTCCTTCAGCCCCAAGATGACTGCACAGCACAGGGTTAAAAGTCTTTAGAAGGTAGGTAATTTAATGTATTTACATGATCATCTGCTAAACAGTTTTCTTTGGAGAGAATGTTTATGTTCAAAGAAAAAAAAGAAAAGAACTACACAACAATATGTATTTGGTAAAAAGAAAAAAAATACATTAAATTAAAAAAACAAGAAACAAATAAAATCAGAAGCCAGGCCAGTGTGAGGCGCCACTAAACCTTTTCTATAACAGCCTCATGATTGTCGGGGCATTGACATGGCATTATGAATGAAAACAAGGACGTAGTTTCATCGTATCTAAATTGCAGCTCCAATATGCATCTCAGACCAGTAATCACAAGAAAAGAGAGAAAAGTTGTCAAAGTTCATCTAATTACATGCCAGGGGTAAACACAGGCATGAGAAGAAAAGTACATAATGTAAGTCTTTCAGACATGCCAACAAAAGGCAAATCAGGAGTGGTGCTATACATTACAAATAACAACAACGTAAGGGAACGTAATAGGAAGAAAAGAAAGACTATATTGAGTTGCAAAACATTGTTTTTTCTTAGATGGCCTACAAATTCATAAATTCAATATCAAGTCAATATAGCTTTTCCTTTTTTATCTTTAGAGCTACATGTTATGCTTTTCACACTTTTGAGGATACTGAGGTGGCTCACGTCCACTTAACTTACTGTACAGTGTAGTGTGTGCTAAACCATAGATATTACTCGGCACTCACCATTCTTCACAAACTTGACAGCATTCCTCAGCTTGCCTACATTGACATCCAGCTGTCCAACCACCTTCCTGTATCTGCCACAGTCACATGTTGTGCCTGGTAGTAAACAAAGGCCAGCACACGTTTATTTGAGTGTCTACAGGATTTAATAGTACATAATTAACCTTTCTGTTTTATGACTGTGACAAAACTCTACCACTTTAAATGAGTGTACGGCTTCACAGTGGAACACCGCTGTGCTTTCTTTGTTGTGTGCTTTCATAGCCATTCGAGAGCCTACAATTTCTCAGTCACTTTTTGCAGACAAGTCCTGCTGCATGGCAAAAGCCTCCTCCACCCTAGCCTTGGGTTGTTAGAATTAGGTTCATAGCATAGCATTGAAGGATTATTTGCAACGCTATCCATAAGTTTTGAATGATAAGTACGCTTCTAAGTCTGTGACCATCAGACATTAGGCAATATTTGGTGTCGTCCCTGGTGAAGCTCTGCCAGGTTTGTACTGCAGCCTTCTTCTTCTTGCTTGCTCCAAGGCTGTTGTCGTACACGGCCAAAACAAACAAAGAACATCACCTAATCCTAATATCCTGTGACAGCTGAGCTGTATTTACAGCTGTTCTACATATATTTCTGCAGTAAGAAGAATGTCCAGAGTCATTTACCATTTAATAGGTGGGTATTGTAACATATATAAGATATGAAAAAAGCAATGTCTGCATGCTTTAAACTTACTCACCTAGTTTCCCTTTTAAACCACTGGGTCCCTCCAAACCTGTACCTCCTTTGTTACCTACAGAGCAATAGAAATCACATGTGAGACTATTCCTAACATTCTGTGATGCTGGTAATTCACCTTTTCTTGTTTTTAATCACTAGAATATAAATAAATAACACAGTACTATCACTGACTATCTATTTACTAATAATTGAACATACTGACAGCTTCTTGTGTTATGTGACATTGGTATGCAGTTACAGCAGGTTACCACCAGATGGCTGTATCATACATGAAACATTTAAAATATGGCTGCAAACAGATATAGATTTACTCAGGTCAAATTTTGACCTATTGTGACTGAGATGTAATTGCTCTAAATAGGTCTCAACATGATAAGACAAATACTTTTTTTAAATATAGAAATAAGGGTAAATAGTAGCTTTATGTGTATATAAAATCAAGAACATACTCTCTTATACTTGAGCTTTACTTAGGAAATGAACAAACATCACAATTGGCTGGTTTTATATGTGGACCACAATCTGATCAGGCTGAGCGGCTTTTGTCAACAGTTTTGGTTTCAGACGTATCATCCTGTTTCCAGTAGCTCCATGGGTTATCAAGACAAATGTCATCTCTGGAGCATATAGTTCAATTCACCCCAAACATTTCTGTTTCTGCAGTCTTTAGATAGTTTTTCCCAGCAAAATGTAAGCCCTGTAAACTCACTGATAATAGGATGACACATGCATAGAATTATAGCAGATACAAAGGATACTTTCTCATGTATCATAATAATCTTTACTGTATCTATAGTGCATCTTAAATGAAAAGTGTTCTGTGAGTGAGCATGAAATTCAGTAAAAGAGTAGCTGCATTTCAGTTTGTGATTCTGCTAAAGCGGATATTGCCCTAAAAATATGTTTTTCTGTCTCTAGGTGTTTTATGAGCTACCGGCGCTCAGGACCAAGGGAAATCCAAACCTCTGACCTCACTCCTTTGCCTGAGATGGCTGATGCACTGCCACTTTCTTGTAAGTGTATTAAACATAACGAATACTGAGAAAAGTAAATGCCTGAAGAGGCAGGGGAACATGACTGCTCATAAAAAATAAAAATAAAGCTTGAAATTGTTTCAGCCACCCTGGGCAAAGCAGCCGGATGACCTCATACTGTAGGATTATGTTTTCTTCTATCTTTGGATGTGATCTAAAACATAAAATAGATGTGAAACGTTCCTCCTCGTGTGTATTAGTCTTGGGACTAATACACACAACAAACTCAACGCAACTCAGTTTGCTGATTTGTGTAGAGATGTCTGTTCTACTTATTCTAATGTTTTGAGTCTACGATTATGGAGCTGCAGTCCAGGCTGAGGAGGAGTTCAGGAAACTATATTTCTTCTTTTAGGCAATTATAAAGTCACTAAAATCCTGTAGAAACCTCACAGCTACATTTTTGCCATTTTTGTAGCCTGTTGTTGACAACTGCATGCAGATTGAAAAAGTGTCATGGCACCAGAACAAGGATACATTTATACACGGGATGGTTTTAAAGTCAAATCAATCTTTTTCTCATTTTGTAAATATTTTTTTCCACAGGGCACTGAGGATATAGGAGGATTTCCACTTGATGCACTCTCCTTTGATTTACTGGATACAATCTATTTGACTTAATGTGAATCCATAAGGCCTATGCTTATAGTAGTAGTATAGTATGGAGTTAACTATAAATAAAAAGAAAATGAAGGGGATACAAAGACAGGAACAGTGTTTACATTAAAAGTGCTTATAGAAACTACTTTTTAGTTTTACCTTTGTCTCCAATGGGCCCCATCTTTCCTGTGTGGCCCACCTCTCCTTTAAGCCCCGACTCTCCTGACGCTCCTGAGGAAGAAGAGAAAGACAGAGGATGAGAGGAGGGGAGAGAGGAGGAAGAATATATGGAGATAATTCAGAGAACACGGCAAATAAATCTCATCATTTCAGTTTGAGATTATGACTTTCCAACACAGAGGGATGATTATACAGAAAAGGGTAGTGTACAGTGTACACGATGCAACATTTTCAGAATATGGTAGATATCACTGTGAAATCTCTTCATTGTATCTTATAAAGCCCCCTTATTGTTAGACATACATTATATAATCCATGCTTGTCATATTCTTACAATTATGACAGTTTCTCATGGCTTTCATCAGTTTTCTTTGTTTTTTGATTATTTTGTTGTTTTAAAGCCTAATCAATATAATTGCATGCTTCCAGAAATTGCAAGCCCCGAGGCTTTTTTCCAACAATCTCTGCATAGTTTGGTTTCAAGTGATGCTGCTACTGCTGTTATCATTATGCCAGTAAACCAATTAGAGGGAAAATGCTGATTGATTTTGGGCACAGACGTAAGTTTTTTGTGTTGAGAGGCTGCTTGTGGAGTGAAGATAGTCTGTGAGAAAATGTGCTTTGTTGCAGGTTTAGTCAAAGTGGAAGTCCACCTTTAAATGTAATAAACAGAGTAAATGCATGCATTTATTATTTATTTATGTAATTGTGTTACATTCTGTTTCCTGTAAAAAGTGTGTAATCAACAATGATCTGGTGCACAGAGTACGATTATTACGAACTGTCACTGCACAATCCTATTGAGGCTTTAGTTTGGTGTTGAAAGAGAATATCAGTGTGTGAGAGAGATTGTGCGTGTATGTGTCCGTGTGTGTGTGTGTGTGTGTGTGTGTGTGTGTGTGTGTGGGAAAAGTACAGAGCAGACTGAGGCTTTCTGCCAGCACTTGAATGAGTATTTCCTCAGGAAACTATTCAACTGGAAATTGATGAGGTTTGAAATACTAAGTGACACATGAGAGGGATTCGCTACACACACACACACACAAACACACACACACACACACACACACACACACACACACACACACAGGCACACAAAGCCAGATTTTCACTAGGATTTCCCATTTCCCACTTTCTCGTGTGGATTTTCTACTTGATGATTTGTGAGAAGTGTTGGCAGAAGGTGTGAGGTCTTATGGATTGTGTGAGGTCTGGTAGACTATGTAAAGCTCTGGCCTATGGGAAACGTTTTCACTGTTATCTGTGTGCAATTTTCTGCATAATTAATTCAGTGTGAACGCCTGAGAAGCACCATCTCAAAGCCAATATTTTGACAGTGTGGACATGAGAACTGATTGTGAACCATGATTATAGGTGTTTGTTTTTTGCTATATGCAGAAATTGAATCTATTGGTCTCTTGTTATTCCTTCTGTGTCTATAAAGTTGATAAATGTTGTTTTCGCATGTGACTATGCTTGCCAGTTAAACCGTCTATCTAAACATCCAGATAACAGTGCTCCCTATCACTGCAGTCGCTCTTTATAATGGCCAACCCCTCCAACCGGTCTAACGTCTGGATTCTCCAGCTGCTGGAGGATAAAGGAGGTGAAAGCCATATTTTTCATTTTAATTACAGAGCCTCAAGCTATTTCCAAAACGCTCAACGGACTAAATGTTTTCAAGGCTTAATATAACAAAAATACAAGAGGTTAAAATGCTAAGCAGATCATTCATTACACTTTGTTTGCTCAAAGACAATGAGCAAAAATGAATACTGGTATTTCTGTTTACAGAGGAAATAGAGCTGGGGCTAATGAAATAAATGAAGGCTTAAGCTAGATTTTCCATTTGTTGTACATATGGTTCATTGCTTGCTGTCCCAAAAGTTTCTTCCCAAGAATTAAGATCCTTACATAACACTTAACTTTATTTTTTGTAACGCTGATAAACTTGAGCAGCAGTTTTACAGTAAGTAAAGCACAATTAACAAATGCAGAAATCCAGCACCACACTTTGTCAACGTTATTAAGTTTGGAGCAACAAATAGTTTTTGTTGCCCACCAGAGCATTCAGTCATGTATTCCCTTTTAACATTCCAAAATTAATCAACTGCTTCCTGTAAAACGGCCCTAACTTAAGACGGGGAATACATGCGTCATCTGTTGAGCTGTTGGCATACTGCAGTTACAAAGTCATCACAGGAACCTGCCTTCATCCTACAGCAAGCATACACACAGAAAAACCATAATGATTGGGTTTGCTACACTGTTGAAAAGTTGAAAAGGGTTCACATAGACTTTCTTTCTCTTTACAGTTTTGGAAAAGACTCAAGCAGTCTTGGCATGTGTCTTTCTGTTGTTGTAGAGTGTGTGTGCATGTATGTGTGTGTGTGTGTGTGTGTGTGTGTGTGTGTGTGTGTGTGTGTGTGGACCTCTGTGTGAAGTTATTGAATAAAACAAACATCTGCAGAGAGCAAGAGGGCAGCCAGGAACCAGTGCTTTTATACAGTGTGTGTGTGTGTGTGTGTGCATGTGTAAATACAATCATGTATTGTGTCTTTGTGCGGGTACGTCTGCCTCCTTGTGTCTACAGGCTTGCTTGCCTTGTGTGCATATAGCTCATTTTATGCCTCAGTGTGTGTGTGTGTGTGTGTGTGTGTGCGCAGACATGGAACACTTGGAACACATATGGCAAAGCGGGACGCGATTGCTTTCCTCAGCAGCAATTAATACGTCTGCTTCCTCCACAGACACACAGCAGTGCAGGTCTGTCTGTCTGTCTGTCTGTCTGTCACTCACAGAGCAAAGCTGTTTCTACCGCGCAGCAAAGGAAAGCAAACTGTCTGGAGCAGGAAAAAGCAGAAGCTGCTGCCAGGGCAAAGTCACACAGGCTGTGTGGAAGCTCACAGTACAGAAAGTAAGACGTGATTATTTGTTCAGGTTACAGCAGCAATGCAAATTACATTTTTGAGTTACAGACAGGTGAAGTCAGACTTTATGCTTCTGTGCAAACATACAGTAAGAGAAGTGAGGCCTTATCACCCATTACTTTTATTCCCCTTGCAGTTGTCTTTAGCCCTTGTTACACATGTTGCTAATAAAGACAGAAGCACAGGAAGTAGATTTTATTGTCATATCACTATTTTGCACCATTTTCCACAGAGGACATTTTGACATATCACACTAGGAAAAGCATAGGTAAATAAATATTATTATTAACTGTCATGTTCACTGTCATGCCTTACTGGGACAGTTTTAAATAAAACAAAGCTATCGTTAATCTCATGAGTAAAACCTGTGCTTTTCCTACACTGAAATGCCAAAATGTCTGCTGTGTAAAAGGCCTTTTTGAATAGTTATTGACTTAATTTACAATGAGGTGAGATTATTTCACCACATTTGAATACAAATTATCTTTTCTTTTAGGATTTTTCATTAAAAAAGTGGAAAAATCTGGATAATAGTGCAACAACCATTGTTCTCTGTACCGAACTTTGCAAAGTTGAGTACAACCACAATCATGCCGAGCAACAACAAACAGTCACAGTCTACAACTGTGACTGTTTGTTGTCTACATGTTTTTGGGTTTCATGTTTCTACTACTTTTTATTTTCAAGTTGAGCCTGATTCTTCTGTGACTCACAAAGTCACCCAGCTATTAAAACAGACCTGAAGTCACTGTGAGTATGCTAATATGTCCCTCTTCAAACAGCAATCTGATACCAAACCAAACATTTTTTTATTTGGACTATACGCCTTCAAGTGGAACTCCAACAATTCAACAGCTCAAAGTCTGTTTACAGGTCTTGGGGACTACATATTTTGAAAACAGTTGTATGAAGACATTTGTGGTGATGCAATTTGAGTCAGCATCAGTTGGGGTTGAAGACTAAACGTTCGAAAATTAAAAAAAAAAATGTGTTCGATACCTGGAAGTCCTGGTGGTCCATTCTTTCCCAGTTTTCCCTGATCTCCCTCCTCTCCAATCTCACCTTGGTCTCCTGGATTAAAAGACAGTAGAGAGGATGAAAGTGAGTTGTCCAAGAACAACTACAGCAGAGCACACGGAGTGTTTGTGTATAAGATTCAGTGCACACCCAGTTGTGGCTTTAGGTGCACTGCTACTGTAAGGTTACATTTGAAACAACTTTGGATGTTTAAAAAAGTATTTTGACTCTTCATATTCCCTTATAATCTATGTTCATCCAAGTCACCATCATTCTCAAAAGCACTAACTCATTTGAAGTATTAATGACATCACACAATTGAGCGTGAGAGCTGCTCAAAGAGCTCTTGGCAAGAAATCTTGAGATTCATATTGTCTATGAGAGTAAATATGTAAATATGCCCCAGTCGTGGATGCCAACAGCACTCTATATCTTGTACGTGCTGGGCATTGAAATGAAGGATGGTAACAAACTCCCTCTGTTAGACTGCAGGAGTACTTAGGAAATGTATTATTCTATTCATTGCAATTTCAAGTGTTTCTTCTTGTGGACAGCTGAACTGAAAACATGTCGGGTAAAACTACTAACATGCCTTGCTTGTGTGATTAAGGTATCAAATCACAGAGAGATTTGTGAGTAAAAGAGAATTCAAAGTTTGTCATGTAACCTTTCTCAAATGTTTTGACATTCTTATGTTTCAATAAAAAAAAGAAAAATGACGGTAAATCTATTTAAAAAGTCAAAGTTCCAGTAAATGCAATAAAAGTATGTTTGTTGGAAAAGTGAAAACACCCACTCAAATACGCAGACGTGAGAATACAAACACTCAGACTGACTCTGTGGTCAGCGGTTTATCTGGGATGAGTTTTGTACAAATAATCATTCAGTTCAGTGGCAGCTGTCTAAATACACTGTCACATTGGGACTTTCTTACTAGTACAGAAAACTGTAAAATGTACACTCACTTCCTACTGAGTGTACATGATATTACTTTTGCATATTCACTTCAGTCATGCTACCACTTGACTTTGTAGTTCAGTAACTACTTTTGTCCACAAGAATGAAACAAATACATTTTTTTTTATATTCAAGAACTGTAAAATTCAGATAAAGGTGTCTTTTGCTCAGTTTCTGCATGTCGTCTGCTGGAGTAACACCTTAAGCCATGTTTTTCAGTAGCGTGAATGGAGCTGAAAAAATGGTGCTCTGCTTAAGTGTGTATTTTATTAGGTCTGTCTGTCTGAATCAGCAGGGGAACAAGCTACTGGATGTCGTAAAACGGGGAGGCATTCCCTCCAAAAGTCTATGGGGTAGCAGACTGCTAGCTAATAAACTGCAGGACATTACATGCTTGCTACCTTTATCATCAGCCCTGTAAACCCTGAAGAAAGTGAGGGGTGTTTCCTCAGAATTTTCCATTTGATGCATATACAGATATTAGTCCTCTCCTATCACACAAATGTGTGCAATTAATAAGATCCGACTACGATGTCAGTCAGGTTTAAACACCAACACACACGCACACACACACACAGGCAAACTCGTAGCACATTCTGGGACAAGTCTTACCTTTAGCTCCAGGCAGGAAGGTATTGGTGCAGACTTCTGTAGAGGCAGAGATGCAGTTGAACACGGCTGCAAACACACAGAGCACCAACAGCACCATCATCTCCCAATCATTACGAGCCACTGAAGAAGATCCTGGCTTTCAGATTTGCAGGAGTATCTCATGTGCCAGTATGCACCGATTGACTGTTTTGACTTTAAAACCAGAGGATGCAGCACTAATGAGCAAACGTACTGCAGAGAGGGTAGAAACAGAGACACGCTGTTGTAGAACACACACACACACACACACACACACACACACACACACGCACACACACACTTGTTTATAGAGTCTTATCAGTTACTTGTCATAATGTCAAACAACACTAAACAGAGAATTGCATTCCTGTATGTCTTGCCAAAGTGCCGTTTTTTAAAATATATGCACTATAGTACCCTAAAATATTTCAACAGTGGAGGGAAAAGTAGTGTCAACAGCTTGGTCACATGGGTCACATTTCTTTGCTTTTGGATGTTTACGTAACAGTTATACAACAGTACACCAGTCAGCACTAACACAAAATGGTGATGATTCATACATCTCAGTGTACTACTAACTAGAGACACAGTGATGTCAAGATAGTCGACGAAATGAAGATGGGAAATGTCAGATTTGCAGAGTACATTACAACACATATTTGACTGTCCCAGTCCATTTGCTTTTGCACTGTAATGCATTCTTCCTTGACGCTTGATGAAGAAAAGGAAAAATGTTTTTCCAATAACAATATAATGCAACTCATTGCAGTGAAAATAAGTAAATAGTGTCAATTGACACAAATAGGTTATAAAAGTGCAACTTGCTCTACTTTAGAAATCGCAGTATGGTCAGGATGACAATGAATTGACTGTGACGTGCTGGATATTTTTGATGAATCAACAAAAAAATAACGTAAATATTTAGGCTAAATGGTGTGTGCACAGTATGTAATATTAGACATGCCTAAAGCAACTGGGATGTTTTCTTATCAACAACAAGGGAGTAGCACCTCTGGGCCTGCACATAGTTCCTCTTCTCTCTCGTCTTCTTTTACTCTTCCTCCCACCCTTCAGACCACAAACCATTTAGTGGGAGAGGTTTACGCTCACCATGCACACACACACACAGAAACAAACACACAGATGTATATTACGTAAATGCACGCATGCCCACAAACACATGAGACACCAAAAGTGTCCATGCACAAAAACAAAAATGCACACACACACACACACACACACACACACACACACACACACACAGATTCTTGCATAATTGCATCCTCTGGTTTGTCACTATGTGATGAAAACATACAGGGATTAGAGAGTTTGGAGGCCTCAGAGGGACAGCGAGAAAGGAGGAAGGGCGGGTGGCAGAAAACGAGAAAAGAGACATGATGTGAAAGAATGAGACATGATTAGAGAAGGAGACAGAAAGACAAGAGACAGAGCAAAGAACAAAGAGGGACAGCAAGTAAGGAAGGGAGTGTGGTCAGAGCCACATGTCTTGGCACAAAGAGGGATTTCCTTATTCAAGAGTTATGCTTTCTGGGATGTCTTAAGCTCTCCATCAGTAAGGCAGGTCATTAGGGGCATTTGTGTGCTCGCTTCTTTGAAGAACAGGGAGGAGCCAATGTTATTTAAATTTTTTTTTTTTTTTTTTTATACTATATTGATCCCGGAAGGGGAAATTTGTCTCTGCATTTGACCCATCCCTGTATATAGGGAGCAGTGGGCTGCCAATGACAGGCGCCCGGGGAGCCGGGGGTTCAGTGTCTTGCTCAGGGACACTTCGACACGTGACACGTCCCAGTCAGGGATCGAACCGTTGACCCTGCGGTTACCAGACAACCGCATTGAAAAAACAACAACAGAGAGATTCATCTTAATCAGACATGGGCTGTTGTTCCCTGAGGGATTGAGTTGGCAAGTTGTCACTTTGAAAAGCAGCCATTTTGAGGAGAACAGTTAAATGGTTCGTCGCTTTTAATGTGGTTGGCCTCTCATACTGATATTTGTATTGACAAAAATCTTTCAAATACACCCAGTAATGGCTGGGAAATTCCAACACATTTTTCTGCTTACAGACACGTCACTATTTATTTCAACTCTTGCAGTCGCTGTGCTCTTCAAAGAAAAAAAATATATCATCAAATTTAGGCCTGTTACACAGTCGTAGTCATTAATCAGATCTTGCTGCTGATTGCAATGTTTGTTTCTTTGGGTTATCCTTAAAAAAACATTTTTAAACACACAGACCACAAACCACACACAGACTTGAAAATATTTCAAGACTGACACATTTGATATCGGTCTGACAAAGGTTTCTTTTGGCTTCTACCACTGTTTGCTCCAAGCTTCGAAGTCCATGTCATTTCTGCGAAGGAATTTGTTGATGTTGAGAGCTGTGTATTTTGTTGATGTTATGACTCTGGCTTTTGGTGTCGCTAACAACAACTGGCTAGTTGGTGCAGCATTTTCAATTACAGTTCAATAGAAACAATGCTGGTGAAGTGGTGAGAGTGAACCAAGATAGTAATAATGCAGGCCAGAAAAAATGTACTTCAAGATGATACAATTTTCTGTAGAGTTCAAGAGAACTGCAAAGTTGAATAATTAATCATCTGTGAAGTTATCACTACGGGGGACTCCATTCAGATACCACGAGATGGGTGATCCATTGATAATGTGAAAATATAAATAAAAATGATAAAAGTCACTTTAAGGAAATGGAAATTACGAGTTTTACTTTGGACTTTCTGTTCAAAGTTCAAGATCAGATTCTGATAGGTAGATGATGATTAAGAGACATGAATCAAAATTTTAAAAAATGCTGGAATACATAATCAGCTCCCAATTGATGGCATTCCTCTCAGAACACTACTAAGTCAACATCTAATGATAGCACCATTTCAGAAGTTATCCTTGAATGTCCTAATTACTGGTTTAAACAACAGCCTCCATATTTATAGATTCATCAGAAGCATTTGATGCTGTCGATCATCCCTTGCTTTTGCAAAGATGATCCTCTGTCGGCCTGTAACTGGCTCCGCAGCAGATTGATCAGTGTTTGAAGGTAAGAACGGCCAAAGTTGAATTCCTACCGGTTACGAATGGTGTGCCGCAGGGATCCAATATGGGACCTGTCTTGCTTTTTATTTTTAAACATTTTATGAATGAGATTATCTCTGCTCTGTCGAACAATGAATTCCTCTTTACTCAGTTAGTAGTGTTTCTTCATGTGCAGATGTTACTGTGTTGCTGATTCTGTTCAATCTGCAATTGAAACATTAACTATTTTTCAGGCACTGCAACGTGCCCTCATCAATCATCATTAGATGTAATTATTTCTCAATGACAATAAAACAGTTAATGCCCTTTTTTCAGATCCAGATGTACGGATTATAATGATTTCTTTATCTCCACTCTGACTGGTTTTATTATTGAGAGGGTCACAGAATAATAATGTCTCGGCGTCGATGGGAAACACATTTAATATCACATAGAAATGCTTGTTTGTAAAATACTAAAAAACCATGACTTTTTTGCAACAGAAACAAACACAGTTTACACTGGACCCTTGAAGCAGTTCACTGTCTGCTCTGGATTATGTGGATGTGATATATCAACATGCTGCTGCCTCCATTCTGAGGAAACTAAATGTAATTTACAATGCTGCCCTCAGGTTTATTACAACACTCAGCACTGCATTCAATATGATAAAGTTGGTTGGTCTTCCCTGCCCGAGAGACGTAATAATCGGTGGTACTTATTTATCTACAAAGCCCCAATTGGAAAATGACCATCCTACAGTATCTTTCCTGCTCTGCCACTACGGCCCACTTAACATGCTCCAGTGATTAGTTGAAGCTGTAGGAACCCCGTGGCACAACTAATCTAGGAAAAAAAAAACTGCCTTTGCTGTTAACGCATGTAATAGTCTACAATGTTGACTAAAAATCAAAACACATCGCGGTAACCTCATTTACAGTTCTCTACCTGCTTACGAATGCTTTCACGTTGTACATTGTCTGATTTCTATTTTAAATATGTGTCTGTCCAGCATTGTATGCTCAACCAACCTACGCTGTATGAATAAAGGTAAAATAAATAGAATACATCAATCGATAATATAATGAGCATGTACAGTAGTATATAGTGTAGTGTACTGTATGTGTCTATACCATCAGTTGTTAATCATCCTTTGAATGTGTGTGGACTTCCTCTGGTACAAAAGTGCAGCATTCTTACTCCGTGTGCACACCACACACACACACACACACCCACACGCACACGCACACGCACGCACACACACACAAACAACCCTGCTATCCTGAAGGCTAATTGTTCACATGTGGTTTAGATTGCGTTCTCTAATTAAGAATGTGATTCACACTCCTGGATTGAGGGTTGACTCCATAGTGGTAGCCACACCACAAAGCAGCCCTGTCTCCTCTGCTGCTTCAATACCCATTTACAACACTGGAAGTACCATTCGTGGCATAAACTGGCCACATGTGTGTCAGTGACAAATCTGTCGACAGCAACTTCAGCATATAAAATGTTTACCTAGCCTCTGCTCTAAACCACATTAATTTACTGTGGAGCATGAATGTCACAGTTGGCCCAGTTACAGCTAAAGCGACTGATACCCGTGTTTTCTGGTATTTTTCTGGGGAAATCGGCTCAGGCAAAGCTTTTTCTCGGGAAGCAGCAACGCACTACGTGACAGCCACACTGTGAAGTCACACTGTGATGTGTCTTTCTGTGTTTTATGATTTCACTCTTCTGAGGAAGTGAGTCAAATGATTTTTTACCATAATGTTTCAGTCATGTTTGCTTCAGCGCTGAATCTTTTGTGTGCTCTGACGACTTCCCGAGCAGTCAACCATTAACACTGGTGGTCTTGGTAATCTGTAGTGCTGACTCTAAAAAACCTCAATGAGAAGTTGAATTGATCTAAAACATTTAAAAAACATTTAAACAGCGACAAGTATAGTGACAGCAAAATACTAGGATTGTACTGAAATTAAATTGAGGTTAACTACAGTTATAAGTCGTATTAATGCCTATTCCATAGGGGTTTTCTTGACTCTTAAAATGCTAGTTAGTTTCCTAACAGGGCCTGCAAGATGCATAAAGATGTTGCTTACCCTATTATGTTTCTTACCAGTTTGA